TATGGGACCCCAGGGGAGTGAGGAAGGGAGGGAGAGAGAGCAGTGGGGAGAGAAAGGAAGGAGGAAGGCTATTTTTTGACAGAAATTGGGGGCATGGAGGGGGATGTGCAATCAGTCTTAAGGGGCAGAGAGGAGAAAGACAGGACATTCCAGCTGGGTACGGTGGCTCTCACCTGTAATCCCAGAACTTTGGGAGGCTGAGGTGGGCAGATCACCTGAGGTCAGGAGTTTGAGACAGCCTAACCAACATGGAGAAACCCTGTCTCTACTAAAAACATAAAATTAGCCAGGCATGGTGGCACATGCCTGTAATCCCAGCTACTCAGGGGGCTGAGGCAGGAGAATCACTTGAACCCAAGAGGCAGAGGTTGTGGTGAGCTGAGACTGTGCCATTGCACTCCAGCCTGGGCAACAAGAGCAGAAAAAAAAAACCAAAAAACAAAAAACCATGGGACTTCCAAGCAGAGGGAATGGCAGGAGCAAAGGCCCAGAGCTTGGAAGGGTGAGGTTATCCTGGGGATGTGGAGAAGCTCAGGGTGGCTGGCATGGATGAGCATGGAGGAGAAGGGGCCGAAGAGCTGGGGATGGATTTCCCTACAGCGGGTATCTTCCTGCCAGGGCAGGGTGACAGGGGGCTCTCATCATATCCCATCATAGGAGCCAGGCAACTGGGGCCACGGAGGTTTATTTGTCTGCTCTGCCCACCCCTCCTGTGGCTATTCCTGGACTCTACCAAGACCCCTCCTCTCACTTGCTCCTGGGACACAGCATGGGTTCCCATCTCCAGGACTGGCCTCCATCCATCCACGCTGGGCATCACGGGAGGATGGGAATCACCATCAGACACTCCTTCCTCTGAACCTCAGTCCACAACCAGTCCATTGATGACAACTTCTAGGTGTCTCTGGAATCCCTCCCCTGGCCTATCCCTGTGTATGCCTCCCTGCTCCCCACACAGACACCTGAGGCCTCACTGGCCATCCCACCTCCACCTGAGGGCCCTCAGAGCATCCTCCACAATCGGACAGCATTCCTCATACAGCCCAAGCCTGGCTCAGGCCCCACTGCCCAGGATGAAGCCCAGGCTCCTCAGCACAGCTCAGGCCCATGGAGCAGCACCCTTCTGCCTCCCTGCACCTGAGCCAGTGGACTGAGTTCCTTTCAGTTCCTGAACACAAGACACTCTCTCGGGTGCACAGTTCCCCCTGCCCCAAACACTTCCCTGCTCTGGGAGATGGGGCTAACCCTCCCAGAGGCCAGCTCAGGCAAGACTTCCCCCGCACCCAGGGTTTCCCCAGGGCTCCAAAATGATCACCCTGGGTGGTCTGGGTGTGTCTGTGTCTGTTCTTGTCTGTTCCCCCACAAGCCTGGGGGCCCTTCAAGGGAGAAGAGAACCAGGTCTGATATACTTATGACCCCAGAGCAGGTAGCAGGGCAGGTTTGTTAACTGAATAAGTTAATCAGGGCACTCCAGACTGTTTGACTGTGGAGAGGGCACAGGCCTGGGGGTGTGAGTGGGGCAGTGCCGACTCTGTCTTCAGTCCCTTGGCCTGAATAACTCCCCTACTCTTCCTGAAGGAAATCAGTTAAGATTAAAGCAGCCTTCAAACGGTAAATGTACTATAGAAGTGCAAGAGTTGGCTATCATAGCCTGTCTCCTTCGGAGTCTCTGGCTGGGAAGTTCCTCCAGGCATCTGAACTATATCCCTCTCTACAGAGAAGCTGGTTTTGACACTGCCTTTCGCAGACACAGTCTTCAGGGGACCCTGTGGGGATGGCCAGAGAACAGTCTTCTGTCCTACCAAGTCCTTAATTGGCAGTATTAGAGTAATGAGTCACAGACAACAACCAATTAATTATCCCCAGTTATAAGAAGCTCTGCTTCCCCTTCCTAGCTGTGGAGTGAGCCTGGCCTCCTGCTGCCAGGTTCCTCCACTCCTCGGAACTGGGGGCAAGAGAAGAGGCCATTTCACCTCTCTGGTCCTGGTTTCCTGCTTATTTATTTATTAAATGTGTGTCATGGGGGGCTGGGAGGCAAAGGAAGAGGTGGGAATGTGTCAGGCTGGGCGGGGAGGAAGGAGGGAGACCAGTGTGGATGGAGAGGAAGTGGACCTTCCCAGGCTCTCTCCACCCACCCTCTCCACTCCCCAGGATCCACTTCAGGGCCCAGGGCTGCACCATAACCAGGGAAACACTGAGGGATCCAAGCCTGGCATTCAAGGCCGCTCCCCATCTTGTCCCAAATGCTCCTGGTCCAGTGCTCTTTCTTCTCCATCAGGCAACTTCCCAAGTCCCCCTGCCTTTCTTCTTCCAGCAAACTCTCATTTAAACCCACATCCTCAACACACATTGTCTTTCCTAGTCTCTAGCAGCTTAGGCTGCAAATCTATCATCAGCCTGTGTGACTGATTTCTCCATCTGTAAAATGGGCACACAATTAAACATGCCCCATGGAGATGTTACAATAATGACTAGGGCAATGCATGTAAACCATTTGCTCCCTGCATACAGTAGGTACTCAATGAGTGTTAACAGACACTATTACTTTAACACATCATTTTCCAGCCTGAGGATGAGAATAAAATGCCTCGTGACTCTCCCACCTGTCAACCCATTTCACAGGTGAGACCCAGAGAGATGGGGTTTCACAGGAGTTGAACCAGGCTTCTCTGAGTTGGGAAATACAGGGGGAGATTCCTCCCCTGGGGTGGGAGTGGTGAGAATAAGGAGAGGCACCAGGCTCACTGGCAGAGGCCTCTCCGCCACCCCTCACCCCAGGCAGCTCTGCTCTCCCTACCAGCACCCCCAGAGCTCAGGCAAGTCTTCTATTTGTTCAGAGAAATTTCTGGAGCCCCTACCCTGCACCGGCCCTGTCTTTGAGACACCAGATCACTATACCTTTAATGTGACAGGCTGGTGAGTCCAGCCCCACCGCTGCCCTCACACAGATGCCTCAGAGAAGAATGGGGAGAGAAAAGAGAAATAGGGAGAGAAAGAAAAGATGAGGGGCAGAGGCTGGGAACCCGGAAGTGGGAGGAGACGGGGGCGGAGTGAAGTGAGCTAATGCAGGGAGAAAGGGGTGAGGGAGGAGAGGATGCTCATCTTCAGCTGTGAGTTTGGGGTCACCTGAGGTGAGCTCAGCCCTTTCTGCAGAGGCACTGCCACCCAGAGCTGCTGCAAAGCCCTATACCAACCATCTCTAAGCTTGGCTCATGGCCTCCTGCTGACCCTCCAGCAGGACGGTCCAGACCCTAGCCTGGCAGGGCACGTTTTGTTCTGGTTCTTAGTCAGCTCAAAACCAGCCTCGGCCCACTTTCTCCACTCTAGGCCCTGTGCTGGCCACAACAAAGACCCATCACTTCCTGACTCCACTGCCTATGACTGGCCAGCCCTGGGCCCACCAAAGGCACGAGGCTCCTGGGAGATGCGTCTTCCCCAGCCTCTGCCCTGATGGCCACCGGTTTCCTGCTTGGGAGCTCGGCCTTCCTTCTTCTCACTTTAGCCTCAGCTGTCTCACCACCCTTTCCCACCAGGGGCTGCTGGGCCTCTACTACCCAGGTCCAGATCTAGAACAGAGGGTGAAGGAAGGCAGAGTGGCCATGGAATTCTGAAGCCAAGATTGCAACCTAGCTCCCCTTTCAGAGATGGAGAAGCTGAGGCTTGGGCATCTGGAATGGCGTGTCTCAATGGCTAGTGACAGCTGGCACTGTGCTACTCACATCACAGCCCTCATTGCATGAAGGAGCCCAGCGGCTCCTTCAGAGGGGTGTGTTTCCCCTCCAGTTCACAGCTGAGGGAGCTCACAGGCAACTAGATTCAAGTAGAGGATGTACCCCCAAAACCTGAATCCATCTGACTCCAGAGCCCACGGCCTGTGCCCCTCCACATAAGAGGGAAAGCTGTGACAGGGTATCTCACACGGCTTCCCAGCAGAGGCCTGGAGTAGAGAGACCAGGGCTTTAGTCTTGGCATTGCCAGGGCCCTGCTCTATGGACTTGGGCAGGTTTTTCCCTCTCCTTTGCCTCAGTTTGGCCACTTGACTCCTCTGTGGCTGGGAATGTGGACATGGCAATGAATCAGGCCTGGTGCCCACCCTGGCAGTTCCTGCTTTTCACTGTTTGGGGGTCATGAACCCAGGCTCCCCAGTCTAGCACTTATCCCTCACCAGCACAGGCAGAGGAGGACAGACAGGTGGATAAACTTCCCCGACCTCCCCAGACAGATAGCCAGGCCTACTGGGCCTCTGACATCAGTCGCAACCACACCCCCCAAACCCCGCCACCCCCTATCCACTCCAGCCTCTTCTGGGGCTGGTGGAATTTAGAGGCTGGCTTCTTTGTTCAGACAAGCAGGAAGGAGGAGGAAAGTTGTTCTCCAGACAGTAAAGCTTTTAGATAAACACCACACAGGAATTGGTTCCTTCAGAGAAGAAACTAGATCCACTGGCTGACAGCGCCCCAGGGACAGGAGTGCAGCTTAGGTCTGGGCTGGGGAGCCCGGCACTGAAGGAGGCTTTCTTCATCTGGCTGTGCACCTGCTGCCAGCTCTGGCAGGCCTGTGGCTTAGGTGACTAAGTCCCAGTGCCAGGCTGTGACCCTGCCAGCTCCCAGGCTCCAGGATGGCCGGGCCCACCTCCTAACCTTCTCCTCTACCACCTGCCTGTTTGCCTGCCTGCCTGCCTGCCTGCCTTTTGGGATCTGCCAGGAAGCTGAGGACTTCTGCTCACCTTGGGTGACCCTTTCCTTCTGGAGTAGCTTAACCTCAACAGCGTCAGAGGAGTGTTAACAACTCGTCAACAGGACGAGCTCCTTCCCTGTCCTCCTGGTCGACAATTCAGGAATTACTATGAGCCCATTTGACAGAGGAAGAAACTGGAACCCAGAAAGGCCATTGGCCTGTCCAGAGCGACTCAGCAGAGACTGAGCTAAGACCTCTCCCCCAGCCCCTCAGGCTTGCTGGGGCTCACTGGGTCCCTCCGACCCTGTTCCAGTGTGGCTCACCGGCGTGGTATCATCATGCGAACGCTGGTAGCGCTTCCAACGGCAGCCGTAGATGCCTGTGAGGCAGGAGAGGCACAGCTGTGGCTCATAGTACTGCAGGGGCTGGTGTTTCACCATACTCGTGCCCACGGCCCTGGTGCCTGGCCCTCAGGCGCCCATGGAGGCCCCCAGCCGGTCCTGCAGGAGGAAGCACAGGGTGGTGAGGCCGGGGAAGGGTGAGGAGTCAGGCACTACACAGCAAGTCATTGTAGCCTAGGTCAGGGAGGGTCTCCCCTGCTCAAAGCACTGCGGTGGGGCTCCATCTCACTTGGAGTCACAGGCCCACCCTTCCAGGTCCCCAAGGATCTGTCCCCTGCCTTCCACCCAGGACCTCATCCTCCCTACTCCTTCTCCTCTGGCCACACTGATTTCTTCCATGTTCTTCGCTGGCCTGGCATGCTGCTGTTCCCACCTAGAATGCTCTTCCCTTAGAAACCTGCATGGCTCCCTCCTCTTTCCCCTCTTCTCTTCAGGTCTCAGCTCAAATGTCCTTTTCTTTTCTTTTCTTTTGAGATAGTCTTTCTCTGTCACCCAGCTGGAGTATAGTGGCTGGAGTACAGTGGTACCATCTCAGCTTACCACAACCTCTGCCTCCCAGGTTCAAGCAATTTTCCTGCCTCAGCCTCCCAAGTAGCTGAGATTACAGGTGCCCACCACCATGTCTGGCTAATTTTTGCATTTTTGTAGAGACAGACTTTTGCCATGTAGGCCAGGCTGGTCTTGAACTCCTGACCTCAGGTGATCCACCTGCCTCAGCCTCCCAAAGTGCTGGGATGACAGGCATGAGCCACAGCGCCCAGCCACATGCCGTTTTCTCAATGAGACTGTCCCAGATCACCTTCTGTAAAACCGTACCCCCTTCCCACATTCCCTAAGCTCCTTCCCATGCTCTCAGGTTTGTTTTCTCAATCATGTCCTTAAATATAACTTACTTATTTTTCCTGTCTGTCTGCCCTACTATAATGCAGTTTTCATGAAGGCAAGGATTTTTGTCTGTTCGTATTTTCTGCTGTATTCCCAGTAACTGGAACAGCGTCTAGCATGTAGCAGACTTTCAAAATAAACATTTTAGAAGAAATTATCATACAAGCTGAGATGTGTTGGGCACTTAAAATACATCAGGCACTGTAAATACTTTACATTCATTGTCCCATCTCATTAGCACAGCCATCAGAAGTGGCAGGTTCTGTGTCCTAAACCCATCTGACAGTTCAATAAACTAAGGCTCAAAGAACAGCGGGCAATGCCTGGCTGCTGTCCCATAACTGCACTGTGGTCGATCTAGGAACTGCCCCAGTGCCCCAAAGTATTCATTCTCCAGACACAGGGAGGCCCCCGCTCCGAGCCTGGTGGGGCCTCTGGGAGGATGGTGTAGCAGCCAGGAGCTACTGCACCAGCCCTGCTTGGCACCCTGGAGATATCTGTGGGAGCCTCGGCCTCCAGGGGCCAATGTTGGTCGAGTGTGACAGGTGGCAATGGGCTTGGGGCACCTCACACACCCTGAGTATCAGGTGTCATCCAGTCCCCCACACCACTGTGAAGTAGTTATTTTGTTCCATTTTGCTGATGAAGAACCTGGGGCTCAGAGTAGAAAAACAATTTGCCCAGAGGTGCACAGCTATACTGAGGTGTCAGGACCCCAGCCCTGGCCTGTGGGACTCCAGAAACTCAGTCATATGTTCCATACCAGGCTCTGTCCAAGGCCCTGGAGACAATGTGAGCAGGACACACAAAGGCCCCCAGGGCCCTAAGAGGACCAGAGACAGGAACAACCAGGCATTGTTCCTGGTGCTTTCCATGCATAAACTTGAACAGCAGCCCTAGGAAGGAATTATTAGCATTTTAGAAACAGAGATATAATTTACATGCCATAAAATTCACCCTTTTAAAGTATACAATTCAGTATTTAATATACAGTCTTCAATTTCTGGTATATTCACAAGTTGTACAATCATCACCACTATCTAATCCCAAGTCTCACCATCCCAACAACACCCCTGCCGTCGTTCTCATGCACTGTCACTCCCCATTTACCCTGGCCTCACCCCTCTGGCCCTGGCAACCACTCATCTACTTTCTGTCTCTATGGACTTGCCTATTCTAGAGACTTCATATCAATGGAATCACACAATATGTGGCCATTTGTGTCTTGTTTCTTTTACACTTCGTTTTCAAGGCTCATCCATGTTGTAGCTGGAATCAGCATTTCATTCCTTTTTATGTCTAACATTCGGTTGTATGATCTAACACATTTTGTTTACTACTGATCAGCTGATGGACATATGGGTTGTTATCACTTTTGGGTTGTTATACATAATGCTTCTGTGAATGAGTTTTTTTGTGTGAATGTATGTTTTTATTTCTTTTGGGTACACACTTTAGGATCGAATTGCACTTTGGGAGGCCGAGGCAGGCAGATCACTTGAGGTCAGGAGTTTGAGACCAGACTGGCCAACATGGTAAAACCCCATCTCTACTAAAAATACAAAAAATAGCTGGGCTTGTCACTGTGCACCTGTAATCTCAGCTACTTGGAGGACTGAGGCAGGAAAATCGCTTGAACCTGGGAGGCAAAGGTTGTCAAGATCGCACCACTGTGCTCCAGCCAAGGTGACAGAGCAAGACTGCATCTCAAAAAAAAAAAAAAAAAAAAATGCTGTGTCATATGGTAACTTTTTTTTTTTTTGAGATAAGGTCTTGCTCTGTTGCCCAAGCTGGTGTGCAGTAGTGCAATCATAGCTCACAGCAACCTCAGACTCCCGGGCTCAGGCAATCCTCCTGAGTTGCTGGGACTCCAGGTGTGTGCCACCACACCTAGATCGTATGGTAATTTTTATGTTTAACCTTTTAAGGAACTGCCAAACTGTTTTCCAATGTGACTGTACCATGTTATATCCCCGGAGTATCATCATCATCATTCCCATTTTACAGATGAGAACTCTGAAGCACAGAAAGGTTGAGCCACTTACCAAAGGTCACCCAGAAGAGCCAGGATTCACACCCAGGCAGGCTGGCTCCAGGGACCCTGCTCTAACCCATGCACCTGCCAAATCTGATCTGCTGCCTATTTTTGCACAGCCCAAAAGCTAAGAATAGCCTTTATGTTTTTAAATGGTGGTAAAAAGAGTCAAAACAAAAATATCTTGTGACACATGAAAATTATATGAAAGTCAAATTTCAGTGTCCATAAACAAAGTTTCATTGGACACAGCCACACTCATTCATTTATGTATTGTCTACGCTGTTTTAACTGTTGTAACTGCAGCATTGAGTAGTTGCCACGGAGACCATATGGCTTGCAAAGCCTAAAATACTGACTGTCTGGCCCTTTAGAGGGAAAGTTTGCAGACTCCTGCAGTCACCATGCTCTAATGGCTCACGAGCCTTATGGTAAGTGCAGTGTATGATGGAGGAAGGAAGGGAGCCTGTGGGCACTGACCACAGTGCAGGTGCCAAGTATGCTTCCCGGAGTCAGCACTGAGCTGAGGCCTGTAAGATGAACTCCTAAGATGCTGCCACTCCCCAAAGGCCCAGCGGCTGCACTGCACCGTAGGAGCTTGCTGAGCTTCAGGCTCACTCACTACTTCCACCACTAGGCCTCACTCAGGGCCTCTGCCTGTCCCTCCAATACCACTACCCAATGCTGACCTCACCTTGGTGCAGAGATTATAGCCTCCAGTCTGAGGGGAAGATGTATTAGGGGCTTGCTCGAAATACTGAATGACCCGGAGTCTCTTGAGTGCTGGGAATTGTCTGGTGCAGCCTCTATCCAGGGGAGCCTTGGGGAGGCATGTGGACTAAGGTGCAGCTGCTGGGACTTCCCTGAGAGGGCCTGGGGGAGAGGCTGGGTGGGGACACAGCTTGGCTCCCATGGGGCTGGGGAGGCCGTGGGTGGGGGCTGATGTGGGGTGCTCTCAGCTTTACTATACTCCAGAAGATTTTGGGAGCATTGTGTGCCCACATAGGCACTCCCACATTCACAGCCTTCCCGCAGGGTGGGAGTCCAGGGTCCACAGCCAGGGGAGCCAGATCTCACCCTGTACACTCCCGACTGGAGTCTCTACTGTCAGGTCAGCCCCCACATCTGCCCTTCCCTCCCCAGGAACGGAGGAGCCAGGTACAATGTGGAAAGAAGCCCAGGTTTGTGCTGCCTTGCCTGGCACTGATGTGCTCTGTGGCTGGGGCCACTCAGGCTCTTCCCTGAGCCTTGGTTTCTGAATCTGTAAAATCGGATAACAGCTTCTGCCTTGACTTCTCTATAGGATGCATAATTGGGGGCAGGAGGTACTGCAATGCTGAGGTATAGCAGGTGGACATCCTGCACGTGGGAGCCTACCCCAGGTTACCCTTCCTTCACACTCCTTTCCTGGGACTCCCCTGCCACTGGGACTCATCCCGCATGTCCTCTGTCTGCCCCTCCTCTGTCCCCACAACTGTGTATTAACCCACCCAGGAATGGAAATTCCACCTCAGACCTGGAACAGAGGGAACTAGAAGTTTGTGCATCATGCCTTGGCCCAGCACTTCGCTGATTCTGGCTCTGAGTCTCCTCTCCCCCAGGTGCATTTCCTCCTGTTCATAACTGCAGGGGATTCTCTGGGAGGCAAACGTCTTCTCTTTCTGCTGTGTGCTCTCCTGGCTGGGGCCATCTTGTCCACTCCCATAGCTTCAGTTACCAGATGCTGCCAAGGCCACCCAGGCTCTGCCTCTGATCGAGGTAGCCCGCAGCTCCTGGATGTCTCCAGGGGAGTCACCCAGGCCCTGCAGACCCAGTTCAGCCACACTGCCCTCCTATCACCCCCAACCTGCTTCTAATACCCCTCAAGGCCCCTTTCTCACCAACCCCTCAGCCACTTCCTGTTCTAGGCCTCATCTCCTCTGGCTGGGGACTCCTCCAGATTCCTTGCTGTCAGCCCATCCCTCCAATCTAAGTTCTTACCTGCAGCCAGACTGAAATCCTTAACAGGCAATGGCCAGGATCTGACCCCTACTGCTCTTCCAGCCTGGCCGCGCTTCGCCTGGTGAACACCTCCTGATCCTTCAAGTCTCAGAGGTTCCCTCCTCCACAGAGCCCCAGTTTGGATAGTGGTCTCCCCAGCCTCCCATATCCCTGGCATGTCCCTCCCTCTTACCTACAC